GCTAGAGTAGTCCAGCCCAATGTACTAAAAAATGATGGACCAATTCTATTTCTTCATATTTTGCCTAAAGCAGAACCGAATTTTGTAGTTTAGCCCCTAATAGTTAGAGTAATTTTATTGTGACCCAAAAAATTTGAATTTCTTTCATTCTGGTCCTTAATTTAATTGTATTTTGGCCCCAAACTTTATCTTTGTTTAATTTTGACCCTTTTGTATAATTATATTTTGACCTAAAACTTTTTAATTTTTACAATTTAGTCCCTAATAGTTTTTGATTCCTCAAATTATAATTGTTCCCTTCTTTTAGTTGTTAATTATGCTTCTCTTGCATGCATTTAAATCGTATTTTTTGAGTATTGTAAGGATCGAAGACAACTTAAGAGGGGGTGAATTAGGTTATTTAAAAACTAATCAAGTTATGAGACACTTTTTTATTCAATATGAAATTCACCCTCTTTTCTAGGTGACCACTCAATGAGACAATTAGTAAGAAAGCAAGATTGCTTAAGAGTAGAAGAGATAAGCAATTAAGATTCACAAAATAGTAAGTAATAAGAAAAGAATAGCAAACCAATTTGATTACCAAGCTCCGCTTGAGCTTGAATATCACTTTATAGAACAAACTTTTTTAAGTTGATGAAATACAACCAATCTTTGTGTACAAAGGAAGGATCACTTTCTCCTTACCCCAAGTAACACTTGGTCAAGTTAGGAAGTTTTACTATCACTTAGGATAACCCCTCACAAAACTACACTATTGAAGTATTTTTCTCACACAAGAAAAGCTTACACGAATTTTACACAACTAAGAGTACAAATCTTCTTTGTAGAGTATTTTTTCACTAAAACTACTCTTGATCTTTCGCATTCTCAATGTGCAAAAGGACTTTCAAGGTGGTTGACCATACACTATTTATATGAGACCAAAAAGTGCCTCATTAATGCTTCCAACGGATGGAAGGCAGTTGAAAAGTCAACTAGCCGTTGGGAGTATCGGATGTCCGGTACTTCCGATACTTGCGTCCGATGGCAGGCAGTGAGTTTGAAAAAAAATTTTCAATTCTTTCGGACGTCCGGTATCTCTAATGCTTGCGTCCGATAGCAGATGGTGAATTTGAAAATATTCTTTAGTTCTTTCGGACGTCCGGTACCTCTAATGCTTTGCGTCCGAAGTGTTGCATTGTTTATCGGACGTCCTGTGCTCTAATGCTGTGCGTCCGAAAGTAGATAGTGAGTTAGATGAAATGTCTTGATTCTTTTAGATATTCGGTGATGGTGTTCTTCATGCGTCCGAAGTTGTGCAATGTTTATCGGACGTCCGGTATGGTCTTTGCAAGCGTCCGACAGCTTTCAACTTCCTTTATCTCTTTCAAATGCTCTTGATCTTTGAATCAGATTTGCTTCATAGGTGAGAGTCTTTCTTGAAGAGATATTAGTATCATCCAATTGTTTTGTAAACATAAAAAACTAGGGACCAAAATTAACAAGTATTTGAGTTTATTTATATTTTCTAACATGATAATGTAAATTTAGTACTTCTTATATATATATATATTTAATTAAATTGATGCCATGATCCTTTGTTGATTTTGAGTATAAATACGGCAACTTTATCTCATTTAGTCACCACATCAAAAGGAAGGTACCCCTATTATCTGTTATATTTTGATTATATGTTCTTATATTCTCCTACGTGCTCATATATACTTATATGTTTTTACATGTTTTTATTATTTATTTATTTTTAATTTTTATTCAATTTTTTTATTTTTGTTTAGTTATTTTTTATAATTATTTGGGATGTACTTAAATACCTCAAGATGTAATAGATAGGTAATATTTTTATTTATATTTATAAAAATTGTAATTAGATAGACAAATATAATAGATAGGATAGATAGTTCAAGCAGCATGTTGGGGCTCGGTCATTCTTGCAGTTGTGTGATTAGTCGTCTCAGTCGGGGCGGCGTTTCGAGCTCAAACTTGTTTGTTGGGAGCCAGCTGCAATGGGAGCACTTACCCTGAGCACGGATGGCTGCTCCAAGGGTAATCCTGGGCCATGTGGTGGCGGAGGAGTGCTACGGGATCCGTCGGGGCGCCCCATGGTGGGGTTCTTGGCTTTTTTTTGGAGTGACATCTAGCCTGCAGGCGGAAACGCTGGCTTTTCTAACGGGGCTTCAGATATGTGCTCAAAAGGGGTTCACGAATGTTAGCATTCGACTGGATTCTCTGGTTTTGGTGGGGATTCTTCAACGCCGGCTTCACTGTCCTTGGCATATCCGCTGGGAGGTCCGGCAAATATGGAAACTGGCAGGAGATCCGTCGAGGCTTGTCCATTGTTTCAGAGAGGCAAATAAGGTGGCAGATATTCTGGCTAATGTCGGGGTAGCACACCCCTACCATGCTGTTAAGCTCATGAGCATTGGAATGAATGGCCGAGGCTGGCTCGTGGAGGAATTAGCCTAAATAGCATGGGAGCTCCTTCTGTTAGGAGGGTGCGAACCCCCTAATGCAAGAAACATTGTATTTGGCTTCTTTTGTACTTCGCGGTTTATGAATAAAAGCGGGGGTGGCGTCCCCCCCTCCCGGTGGATGGGGTTAGCCAAAAAAAATAGATTTATTTATTATACTTTTCCATTTTTGGATTGTAGTTAGATCCCCTATTGTAATACATAAGTTTTGTGTGTTTGTATGTCTTACATGCTTATGTGTTTTACCCGCTTTTTTTAGAATTCTACATCTAGATATTATGTTTATGTGTTGTGTGCTATGTGCTCTTACATGTTTACTTGTTTTAATTCATATTTTATTTATTTTATTATATATTATGAATGTATGACATTACCGTACTAGTTCAACGCTAGTTATGATTTCTCCCTCTACTTCCTTGCTAGTCCAATGCTAGTGAGAATTTTTAAAAATGGGTTACTCTAACACTAGACCCTTAAGTTATTCACAAGCAAGATTCATGCATTGTGTGTTATTCATTCCATTTTATGCATATTTTTTTATTTTTTTCTCATTTGTATGATATCTTCTCTTATATTATTTCCTTACCCTCTATATATATGAATCATATCATTTAGAATTGCATCTCATTTAGAAAATTAGAAAATAAGTTAGTTCATTTGTCTGTCTATGTTAGAAGAATCATTTTTCGAATATGCGAAATGGATAATTATAACTTTCTAGTTTAAATACTCCATTAAACCCTCTATAAGAAAGAAAATTGTGTCATGAGTTTTTTGTCTGTCATACCCATTATGTTGCATTTCAATTTTTTTGATTATGTATAGTTCTATATATACATTATAAATTTTATTTATTTTGAATCTTATTTTTGCATACTCGTGATCCCTTCAAGCAATTATTTTGGACTTCGTAATTAATACAATTGGCACCAATTAGACTTTGAATGGACAATTTTGCTTCTTTTCTATATTTTCTTTAAGTTTAGCTTTGTATCCATATAGAAACATCCAAATATGATAAGTTTAAGGGTTAAATTAGAAAAATTTTGACTAAATCTCGCAACTAGTTTAGACTACGTTGAAAGGTGCCTTGAGTTTGAACCTATCAAGTCTTCGTCTTCCCTTTCTTTAACCATGACTCTTGAACTCATTTTCTCTCGTTTTCAAAGATCTGGAGTTGTCAAAAAAGGGTTTTATTTTATTTTATGTTTGGTCAAAAAAATATTTTTCGGTGATTTGGTACATTTAAAATCAATATCAAGTGGCGACTCCCATTTTCTTAAATACACTTTTTAGACTAAATTTTGGGCTCAAATTGTTGCATTCTTTAAAGCCCATTTTAGGTCTTTTTCACTTATTTTTTAAAATGAAAAACACATTCTTTTGTAAATATGTTTTTCATCGCGAAAAATGGAGCGCGACAAAGAATAGTGATTTAATGCGCTTGTGTGGCTCAACTTGAGCCTTTGCTCACTAAGTGCATAGTTCTTACACATTAGCAATAAAATCAGTTATCGTTTCTAGAAAAAAAGAAAAGAAAAAGTGTTACCTGCTAAAGCATGAAACACAAAAAGTGAATATACACGGCAAGTGCAATTTTTGTATTGAATTATTTTAAGTCCATGTTCAATTTTCTTAAATCATTTAGTTTTCCATTTTCCTATAATAAAACTAGAAATGAAGTTGAGTGAAAGGAAGTATGATAAAAAGTCTCATAAATGATAGAGTCACAATGATATGGTAAAGCTAAATTCTCAATTTTGTGTACATGTCATGTTAGTATGTGTACATTAATAGTTATGTCTGTGCATTTATACCAATTTGAATGTGAATAAGGTTAGAAAAAAGTGTTACTTGTTGAACTTACAACACAAAGAACGAGTACAGACACTTTTCGGTGAATATGGTTTAGTTAAATACAAGTGGCAATAGGACGCCAAAAATCCTAATATTGTACATTGTGTGTATTGTTATACATTGCATTGTAGATTGGATAGATATTTATCAAGTTATTTTGATGTATGATATACCTATGGTTTCTGTTGTTTGGATGACTATTTCAAAAAGTGAATAAATCTATTAGAGGTTTTCGATTGTTATTCTCAGGAAACTCTTGATGCAATATTAGGGTTGCCATCATATTCAAGAGTCTTATTTTTTCAAAAAAGTGAAAAAGGAAGAAATAAAAAAATTAGATTTAGGAGTTTTCTAGAGATTAAATGTGCAACGATACATTATAACTCATGTCCATATTTGTTGGATTGTTTAACCATAGTTATTAATGTGGCGACCCCACTTCCCCCTAAGGCGAACCAAAGGGTTGGCGGGCCGTCTGCCCAGCTCTCGCCAGGACTCACGCAAGCATTCTAACCCAAAACCTTTCAAAGAATAACCTAATCTATTACAAAACAACTTTTCCCGAATAGAATCATCCTTAAATCTACATTAACTTCAGAGATAGCAGTGATAAAATAACCAGTCGAGTCCCTTAAACGTCCTACGTGCTACTTACCAAAGTACAAAGTCGTATCAAACCGGATAGATGAAATGCATAAGTCCATAATACAACTTACAAGCCAAGAATCGAATTAGGGTTTACACATTTTCCAGCGTCAAGTGGCAATCAAAAAAAAAGGAAATTACATTATCCCAAATAACACATTACAGCCCACTGAATAAGTTGTAGTATTCAAATACAGTCCAAGAGAAAAACATAATTAAGCATCTAGCTTTCAGTTTCCAGAACCTGTTAAGGAAAACATTAAACGTGGGGTGAGCTAAAGCTCAGTGGTGCCCCAAAACATGCAATCACATAATTTCAAACAGCGATTAATAACTGCACAAATTTAACCAGTTAGGAAAGCGTATAACAGCACAAGGTAGGATACGTGGGCTCTCAGGAGCCATTTCCCTCGCTTGATCACCAATGATCGTAGTTGACCCTCCGTCAACTCTCACTACTTATAATCCATGTAGATCCACTTATTTTAATCCTAACCCGTCACCGTTCATACCTCTGCTTCGGGCCCGAACTTCATCTACCGACGCAGTATACTCGAGATATACCCGTATAAAATTTGTCGAGGGATTCACCCAATGACGTGATTGCAATCAGACTCATGCGTCGAGGAATTCACCCAATGACGTGATTGCAATCAGATTCATGCGTCGAGGGATTCACCCAATGACTTATTGTAGTTAGATTCAAGCGTCGAGGGATTCACCCAACGACGTAACTATATTTAGATTTATGGTAGTTAGATTCATGCGTCGAGTGATTCACCCAACGACGTAACTACATTTAGATTTATGGTAGTTAGATTCATGCGTCGAGGAATTCACCCAACGACGTAACTACATTTAGGTTCATAAAAAAAAAAAGATTCACACAAGCCACCACTCGAACGGCTAGTGCGATAAAGTACACACTGCTCACTTCGATAGATCAAAAACCATTTAACCCATTTTGACAGTTATCACATAGCAAGTTGATAAAGCACTTAACCACATAGGCATAAAACAAACAGGGACACTCACCGAGAGTGGAGGTCAGATATCAAGTTGGAATCGAATTCCGCGTCCTCGCAATACCCTAAAAAACCAGGTTTTAAAACTATAAGTGTTGTTATACGGGTTCTTGGTTTATAAATACAATAATGTTATCTGGTACATAACTAGTTTATCTACTCCAAATAAATCAACAATTTCCCTAGAGTTAAACTGATGAAAGTGATGAAATACTTCGTAGGATTTCTTTCTTTCTAGAGGCGCAAACCAGAACCAATTTGCTTTGAATAAGATTTCTTGCCAAACAAGTTTTCTGCGCCGTTTATTTAAAATTATTAAAATCAAGTTTGACCTTTAAAGTACAAATATAACACTTTCAATTTCTATTCAAGTTTCAGGTTTATAACTATAAAGGTTTATCGAGTATATAACTAGTTTATCGTTTCGAAGTAAATTCAAAGATTTACTTAGGTTGAAACTTGGCAAAAGTAGTAAAAATATTTCTTGTAGTTTTCCCTATAAAAGGTAATTAGTATTATTTTCTTGAGATAAATCGACAAACCACTTAATATCAAAACTAGAAAGATACTTCGAAAGATTTCTTTTAAGCTATGGTTCTTGTAAAAATTGTCACTAAAAACTATTTTATCTAAAATAAAGTTTCTTGCTGAGCAAGTTTCTACATTTTTAATTAAAGCTATTAAAACTCTTATTTTGGAACTTTTCCTACCGACAACTATCCAAGGCAAATCTTCAAGAAAGAAATTAAAATAAGACTTGGGGTTTTCAAAAGCTAGAGAAATTATTTTCTATAACTATTAAGGCTAGTTTAAGCTAAAGGAAAATTTATCGAGTTGGAAAAATATTTTTGATTAATTTGATCACAGTTACTCGAGTTCGCAAGGTCGAAACGACTTTCATAGTTTTGATTCCATTTCACAATCATATTTTGGATCAAATATGGCAAAATCACATAGCAAATCACTAGGGCTTCGTCAATCATTAGCCCTAGATTTCAACAATTGCATTTCTGATAAAAATAAAATTGAACGACCAAGGCTTCATCAATCATTAGCACTTGGTTTCAGCAAGCCCATCATAAGCAAATAAAAATAAAAGTAAGGCCTCCAAGACATTCCAGCAATTAACTTTCATCATCCAGTAGTACTTATAAAGTCATTCAAATGGCCAAGGGCTTCATCAATCATTAGCCCTTGACAACATTAATCACTTCCAACCACAATTTAATCAAGAATTTAAATCACAAGTAAGCTACAAGTTCAATTCAAATCAAAATTTAATTCCACGAAGAAAACAGGACATTCATACCAAAACAGTCTACTTCAAGGATTCACAGACAGCAGTACACATGGAGGAAAAATACGAAATTTCTACAGAACAAAGGCCTATGTTTCTAGTTTCAAATGCCACTGACGGCGCCTTAAACGGATTTTTCTACATCAAGATATAAGCATTCTATTGAGACTGGTCAGGGACATCCGAAAATCTGAAGTTTCATTCTTTATTTGTGAAAAACTCCCTTTTCTCTTTTAACACCCAAATGTTTTTATTCAAACCATCCATACACTTCTTATAGAACCCCAAAACACAAACTCCAGACATTTCCATCCATCAAAACTCAGGGAAAAATTTAAAAATCAAGTTGAGATCCCATCTCAACCTTTAATTATCACATAAGAAATTCCAGCAACTAATATACTTTAGGTCCAGTTTATCCCTTGGTTTAAACAGGGTGTTAGGTATTCAAATTCAGCATTTAAACACTTAGCTAGCTATTAAAAATTTCCACTTCGAAACCAATTTCATTCAGTGACTAGAATCATCCAGAAAATCCAGAAATAGTTTAAAATCCAAAAGAAAACAAACTGGAAATTTCTGATCATACCCCTCGGCTATTCCAGAATTTTTCCAGCCCTTGAGTGTTTATAAATCCAATTTTCCTTGGCTAAAACATGGTTTTAGATACCCAAAATAGTCATGCAAAAACTTATCTAGCCAATTAATATTTCCAATTCAAAATTTAACTTAAACAACAGCTGCAAATCCTCAAAATTTCCAGAATTTCTGCACAGCTAGCTTCGAACAAACATACCTGCAACAGATTGCATTTTTTTATTTTATTTTTCTGGTTTAAACTAACTAATTAGCTGTATGCAGAGCCTAATTAACTTGTTATCAACCATCTAATCATGGTTATTAGTTTAAACAACAACATTAAACCAAATCAGGCTGCAAAAATTCAAGCTAAACTCTCGGCCAAATCAGAAACTTTCCAGCTTTTGTTTAGTCACAAACCAGTTTTTTTTCTACGGTTAAATCCTGTATTTTGCACTTAAAACTCACATGCACAACTGCTGAATTACCTAGCTATCATATCCAGACCAGAAATCAGTTCGACAATCAACAAAATTGAACCAAATTAGGCTGCTATAATCAAGCTAAACTCTCGGCAGAAATTTTCTTAACCCAAACCAGAAATTTCCTCTGCTTTAACACATCATCCGAATGCACAATTCAACATGCATGGTTTAACTCTTCAAGTCTTCACTCAGCTAAAGACACTTAGGTGTTCAGATGCCACAGAAAACGCAAATGGAGTTGCATTAACTCCTCAAAGTCTCGATAGCAACATTTTGTCCAAAACAGAAATTTCCTAATGGTTTGATTCTAGTAGCCGATTGTATAATCTAAACATGCAAGCTCAGATGCAGTTTGCTCAACTAATAATCAACCTAATTAAACCAGAAATTACCTCAGCTAGCAGCTAATCCTTCACACGAAATATTCCAGAAATTTCTCCCCTAGCTCTCGGCCAAGTGCAGTCGGTGGTCTTTAGCTCCTAAATTGCGGCTGGAATTTGTTGTAGCTGGTGGCTTTGAGGTCGGTTGGTTGAAGATGAAGAGAATGGTATCTCGGTATTAAGAAGGAAGAAATGGTTTGCGGTTTTGTTGTGCAGAGAAGGAAATTGAATTTGTGGTCTTAAGCCGTGAGATAGATTGGATGGTTTTGTGGTGCCGCTGTTTATGAGAATGGTTTGCATGTAAGAGTGGTTTGCGTACAGATTTGGTAATAACTGCGTGATTTGATTTGAGGTCAGAGGTTCCGTTTGGTTTGCATGGAAAGGTAAGGTAAGGGTCTTTTCACTTTGCTCCCTAACTTCAACTTAATATCTCAATTCTAACTTAATTCTAAAAATTATCCCCAAGCGTGATTTAAACGCCTAATTATACCCTAATATACCTAAACCATTTTTATCGAATAATTATCGATTACACTTTAATATTAAGGTTCCTAGTAATTCCTACATTATTTAGCGATTAAATTAGTTATTAGAATTTCCAATTATTATTTCTCAAGAGATAGAGTTAGTCCAACTCGAAATTTATCAATTTAGTAATATAAAGTCAAGTGAAATAATAATTTAATACAAGTGTGTCAGTTTACACATAAAAATTATTTTTACGCACTTATTGTGAAAACACAGAAGGATAAGACTATAATTATCGAAATTTTCACGCCTTAAGTATGTTTAGTATATTAGTATCATATTTATCTAAAACTCATTGGTTTTCATCTTAACGCGGAAATTCCTATCAACATTTAACATTATTAACGATTAAAACTAGTTATCGGAAATCAAAGAATTTATTTTAAAGTAATAGAATTAATCCAACTCAATAAATATTAATTTAGTATAGCAAACCGAATAATTCAATATTGGCACAATTATATTATTTATTACATAGAAATTATCTTTACACTTTTATTGCAAAACAATTAATTACAATACTAGAATTCAAAGAAATTAATTATTAGATCAATGAAATAGTTTACCATAGAAATATGAAGTTAATGTAACAAAACTAAGAAGTTTAGTAGTTTAGCACAATTCTTTTATTTTGCACCTAACGTTTATTTCTACGTACTCATTTAAAAACAATTGGACTTAGTGCTAAAATTTATTAAAGAATTAAAATGTAAATAAAATATGCACTGATATTTATATGTCTATTTTCAGGGTTCTCACAATTAAACCCGGCCTGGCCCGACAGTCGAACCGATCATTGGGCCGGGCTGAGTTTTAAATAAGATCGCTTGAACAAGCAAACTGTTGACTAGTCAACGACCTGGCGGTCTAACCGGATTAAATTGAACAGGCCGATTTTGTCCACTAACCGAGTCGGTTCATTGGGCCGGGCTGAGTTTTAAATGAGATCGCTTGAACAAGCAAACTGTTGACTAGTCAACGACCTGGCGGTCTGACCGGATTAAATTGAACAGGCCGATTTTGTCCACTAACCGAGTTTTGTGGAAAAATTTAGTTGCCTTTGCTAGAGTTCGAACCTTGGACCTCTGGCCAACACTACAATATACTTACCGCCAGACTACTTCGAAATATGCTAATAAAATAGCTTTATTATAATATATAAATGTTTTGTCAATTCTATCTTTTTTTTATTTCTCTAAAACAAATTTATTTGGAATCTTTTAATAAAAATTTATGACCCTCCAAACTCTATAAGTTATAAAATGGATTTCAAAAATAACATATTACATAATTTATTTTAAAGACAAATATTATTTTTAATAATTTTTTGCACTTAAAATTCATAAATAAGCTAGATAATTACACTAAACATAGATAAAATTTTACACTTGAAGTTTGGTGTATTAGTAATAACTTTGAGTGCGTTTGGATTGCTAAAATCTGAATTTATTACTGATAATGCACCTTAGGATGTTTGGACAGGTTATATATTCCACGAAATGTACCAAATGTATTCATAGCTGATTTTTACCCAACTCTTTCCACATAAGCATTATTGAGTAGTTTACCTCCACGTACATAATGGATGAACGGCTCAAGATTACTTCCCATTATTTTTGTCCCTTTCTGTATGCACGTTGTGCAACAGTGCAAGTCACAAAGCTGCAGGACGCTTTAGCTCCAACCACCCGACCTGCTCAACATTTAGAAATCAAATTTCGTCGTCTCTCTCCACCGAATAACCACAGCCATTTAACACATCTGCATCTCAAGTACCTTTCGAAGCCGTCGGCAAGTGCATGGTATAGGACGAAGAGTTGATTACTTGAATTCAAGGCAAACCACTGATGAGTTAACTTCTCTTGAGCCTTTATCGATGGATAATTTGCTAATTCAGCGAAGGTAAAAAAAAGTTTATCGGTGACAAATTCCAGCTAAATCCAAAGTATTTCCTCAATCTTTCACTTTTATTTTCTCCGCGGGTCAACAAGTCTTCCCTTTCTATACCTGCACAACAGGTGACTTTCTTTTAGCTTGCTAGGAAGTTAATCTTCGAAACAACTAATGCCTTTCAAGGCTCCATATTTTGAGTTGTTATGTGTTGCTGTTCTGATGATGTATTAATCGAAAAACCTATTTTTAGATCCAAACAGCGGCGGATTTTTTGTTGCAGTGTAGTTGTATTGAGTTGGTCAATTATACGAATTGCACACTATATTCCATTTTTCGACAGTTATTCTTGCAAGATGATTATAAGTTGTACACTGCTGCTCTGTTTTTTATCTCCAAATGGCTCAAGATTGCTTGGTTGTCTAATTGGGTTTATAAATTGAACGCTACTCTGTGGTAGTAACATATATCCTGTAAATGGATGTGATTGGCATGGCTGTTTGAGGGTCATCCTTATTTGCGTGCAGCCAAGGAACGATTTAAAACAGAAATTAAGAGACTTGAAAGACTGATATATTACATCTATAGGGTTGAAAATATAGATGTAGCATGATGGAATGGTTTGGTATATAATCCAGCACAGATATTTGTTCCCGTACATTGAAGCTAAAATTGCTAAGTTAACTGAAATTGAAGAGGCTCTAAGTTACAGATTTAATTGCTTAGAAATGAGACTGTTCTAGCATCTGTTAAAATTTATTCATTCATTTGTGCTTACAATCATAACGAAAAATGAAAAAATTGATTTGAAAATAAATTTCCTATTCTGTATACATTCTTAAGCTTGAACGGATATTTGGTGCGTGACTTTGTTCAAAAGTAGGCTCAGTAGTGTTGATTAAAAAAAAATTGTCATCTGCTGCACCTGTTTTCCTTATAGGTATTGCAATTTGAGTTGTTATGTGTTCGATAAAACCAATGCATTGCTCATTCAGCCCATGACCGCAACTAAGCGAAAATTGACTCCCTCTGCAAGTCCCTCTAACCTTTATAAGTGTCATATATTCATTCATGGTGTATTACTGAAAACAATTCTTCTATTTGAAGCCTCTCCTAGTAGCTGCACATCATTTTGCTCTTCCAACTCATCCATTGGTTCAAATAACTATCAACTGTGTATGGAGAACTACAATCAAGGAGTAAACCATGTTTGCCCTTAAAACTATTCTATTTACTATTTTTGGGGCAGAATTAGTCACATTTACTTGCCATTGTAACTTTTAATGGCCAAATTTGTGCTCTTATATGTAGCAGATGAACGAGAAATTGCAGTGGACTTCTACCATCGACTTCAACTTTTTCACCACGTATGTTGAGTGGAAGCAAACGAAAAAATGGGACAATCACAAGACAAATGACCAGAATTATGATATGCTTGCCACATATTTGAGGGAACATTTTGAGATGCAAGTCACCGAGGGCCAGTTTGTGAGGACTCATAATTTTATTATTTCAAAATATTATTAAATTGGTCATTTTAAAAATATTTCGTACTCGAGTTACCAAAAAAAAAAAATATTAAAGTTCATGAATTTCTCGAAAATAAATTTTACCGATTGGTTCTTTAAGCGCATATTATTTTAACGTCTAAATTTATTCAAGATGAATTGCTTATCGTGATTTTTATTGTTATATATACTTGGATTATCATATTGTAGAGTTTTAGAATCGAATAAGTTGAATTTCCAAGTTCAAACGAGAAAACCCTTAAGTTTGACCTTTATACGCGAGCGTGCTGAAAAGGCCCCGATAGGCACATTAATTTGATTAATTGGAGATTTTAAGAACATGAGACTACTAGTAATGTACTAGGGAAATTATCTCAGAGGTTTAGTGCACAAGTTGCAAACGAGCTCGAAAATTGGACACGCGAAGACCCTAAACGGACCTAGCATGAGTTGACACTTAGACTTAACCATTAAGTCACCAATTCTCTCCACTTTCATTACAAAATCTGATTTCACTCTCTATCCTCTCTTCACTCTCTATTTGGCCGAAAATAAGAAGAAAAAAAAAGGGGAAGAAAAAATCTAGCCAAAATCCTCACAGACTTGCTTCAATCCACTTCCCAATTTCATCATCCATTAGAGGGCTTTGATCCTAGCTTGGAAGAGGGGGCTGTTCATCGGTTTTCTTGGAGGAATTTCGGTCAAAATTTCTGCCCTAAAGCTGTCTAACTAAGTTCTTGAGGTAACTCACTCACCCACACTTCAATCTTGCAAAATTATAGCTCAAATGGAGCAAAGGTAGCATGGGTTTGCAACCTATGGTAGAATTTGGGTTGATTGGTTGAGTAATTATTTTCTTGCAATCTCATGACATGCTTGAGGGCTTGAGGATGCTTATTGGTGGCTGATGTGATGAATTGACATGTGGTGGTTGCTGATATTGTGCTATGTTACATGTATATAGAATGATTGATGGAATGAAGTTGGAAGAAAGTTAGAAATTTGGAGAAGGTACTGTCTGAAATTTCAAGGACTTGCTGCCCTGTTTTGCTTTGATATTTTCGTGCATAATTTGGCTACAAATGTGAGTGATATATGTTGTGTTATGTGTGTGGTGGTTGTCTACAAAAAAAAAAATTAGCCAATTTGGTTGGATAAATTTTGAGTTATGAGCAAAGAGGCAAAACTGGACTAGGTCCAGAAATTTTCTGACCAGTGATATTGTGGAGATCACAACGTTTTTCTCGATGATCAAAATTGAGTGCCGTTTGCGGCATTTGAAAGTGGACTCTTAGAGCTTTAAAATGGTACCAAGCTCATTTTCTAGTTCATCCCGAGCGATTCGTGGCGAG